AGAGGTGCTGATTTGTTTGTGTCTCTGCTTCCATATTAGGAAGAGAAAATAGGATCATAGAGAATGTGAGAGAACAGGACTGAAAATCCGAGGGAAGAGAAGGGACAGACCAGATGAAGAAAGGTTCAGGGATGTGAGATGCTTCTCTCCCCACAAACCTGAAGTGTTATCACCTGTTGTCTGTGACAGCTTTGAGACAGTTGTATGTGGCAGGTTAAATTGCAGAGAGGGCTGTGTCAAAGACCTGGATCAACATGGAGTCAAGCAGGTGAATGTGATCCCTGAATTTCACAACACCATGGTTTTCTCTTGCCCTGCCTGTTGTTTCAGCCTCAAATATGGAGTAAGCATGGATATGTGGAAGAACATATTTAAACAAATATTCACGTGAGATAAAATTACATTTCCTAGCTCACCATGAATTCATGAAACAATGAACCCACGTGACCTGGGTTTTGAATGTCAGAAGACAGATTCTCATTTAAAAAAAATTTTTTATTATTATTTTTATTGGAAAGGCGGATATACAGAGAGGAGAGACAGAGAGGAAGATCTTCCATCCGATGATTCACTCCCCAAGTGAACACAATGGCCGATGCTATGCGGATCCGAAGCCAGGAGCCTCTTCCAGGTCTCCCATGCGGATGCAGGGTCCCAAAGCTTTGGGCCGTCCTCAACTGCTTTCCCAGGCCACAGGCAGAGAGCTGGATGGGAAGCAGGGCCGCCAGGATTAGAACTGGCGCCCATATGGGATCCCGGGCGTGCAAGGCAAGGACCTTAACCACTGAGCCATCGCACCGGGCCCCAGAAGACAAATTCTCAACCACCCTGTAGGTAGACCCAGTAAAGAAGGACTGAGGAACCAACTGTGAGGCTGCAGGCAGCTGAGAGCATCAGCTCCAGGGATGAGGACCACAGAGTCAGGAGCCTGTTCCTTCTGAGCTAGAGAGCCATTGGATTCAGGGAGAATACAGAACCCCATGTTTCTACAATCACTGCTTCTGATACCCACATTCCTAGAAATTGAGAGTATAGTTTAGATTATAATAAACTCTGTTTAATGTTTCTGCTTGAACGATCCATACCAATTCCCTTTTACTATATGAATGAAAGGCATAAATTAACATTGAGTACTCTGGCATAATCACTACGTTCCTTTAAATGAGTAAAATATGGACATTTCTGAGATGCATCAGAGAATGGCTGTTAGCAGAAAGAAGGCTCAGGAGGAGCAGCTGGGGAAGCCCACACTAGCACTTCTGCTTTCCTGGGAGGTTTTTGTTTAGGCTTGTGTCACTGTGTGTGTATAACTACCAGCAGTAAAATAAGCTCCTTGACAGTAGTAGGTTCCTGCATCGTCAGCCTGCACCGAGTTGATGGTGAGAGTGAATGATGTCCCAGATCCACTGCCCTTGAACCTGTCAGGGACCCCAGACTCTAAAGTGGATGCACTGTAGATCAGGAGCTTTGGACGTTGCCCTGGTTTCTGCTGATACCAGGATAATTCATTGTTGTTCTCAACACTCTGACTCTTCTGGCGATTGATGCTGACTGTGTTTCCCACAGTTGCATACGCCAGAGATGGAGACTGTGTCATCTGAACAGCACATCTGGAAGCTGAGAAGGCAAACAAAAACACCAACATCTTCTCTGATCATCATGTTCATACAGAAGAAACAGGAAGATTCAGCAGCAGCATTAACCACACAAGCTGAATTCAGTTCCTGCTGTTGTCTTTCCTCACCCAGCAGCCAGAGCAGCAGGAGCCCCAGGAGCTGAGCAGGGGTGCTCATGTCCATGCTGTGTCCTGACTGCCACTGACTCCTGCACAGGCTGTGAGCAGCCTGCTCATAAGTGTGCAGGCCAGTGGGCCATGCCCCACGGTCATGTAAATCAGCAGCAAGGGAAGATATATTGCTGTCTTAACTTACTTTATTTACTCTATTTTGTTGAGAGAAATGAGGATTCATATGTATTTAGGAGCCACAATGAAATGACACTCAGACATTGTTAGAATCTGAATAATAAGAAGAAAATTTACTGTAGATAAATCTACCATCATATATTAGAGTTTTTATGCCCAGAGACTAAATGAGCTGCCCCTTTCTCATTATGAGGGCCTCTGCAATACAATTTTCTGTTATTTGCTCTCATTTCCTATACTTCATCACCATGAATCTCTGACTACTCATGTGAGATACCAAGAATGCAACTAGGATCAGTGTTTGCATTCATCGGCAGGTACCTAGATTAGAATCTACAAGAGATCAGATGAGTTCAAACCTATAACAATTCTTTGCAACAGACAAGAAAAAAAACCATGTAGAGTCTCAAGGTTAGTTTCTATGACATGGATTATCTACTACTGTGCACTCACGTGGACCATCTCTGGAAACAGCACATGGAGAACAGCTGAGCAGTAGCCCAGTGGGAAGGTCTATTTACTAACCCACCTGACTTAATGAGGATGCCTGCTGCTTTGTGCAGGGCTAAGTCATGCGCCAGATGTTCCTATTTCCTCTGCTATTCTTTATGGGTCAAATTGGGCATGTGAGAACTTGTCTGCCCCCTAACCTGGAGTGTCCATGGTGTCATGCTAGTGACAATAACATAGAACATTATGTTGGATTGCGATAGACTTGGACCCAGACTTGCACCTTTGTATCTCACACTCAGTCTATGCTCCAATCACCCAGACTGCATCACTAGAATGGGAAAATGAAGCTGCCACATCAGTACCAAGGAACATGGAGACCAGGGTATTAATGAGGCATGAGCACAGGTGACCAGACCATGAAGGCAGAGCCAGATTAAAAATTCCTGACCCACCTGGGATCTGATTTGTAAGGGAACCTGCTAGCCAAGAGCCTACCCAGATACAAGAGGAGAGGAATGCCTTTCCAGATGGAATATACGCATCATTTATGGGAGAGGGTATTAGGACAACCGCATTCTTCCCTCCCCATGATGAAGTTCTGACTACTGATGTGAAATGTGATGAATGCAGCAATTAGTATTTGTACTAAACTGCAGGAGCTTGGATTAACATCAAGAAGACCTTTTGGATGAAACCACACCTAGATCAATTTTATGCAAAAGATGAAGAAAACCAGCATGGTGCTCCCACCATAATGTCCATGGATATCAGGCGTAACTCCTATGTAACGTTGTCATGGAGAGCGGACGAGGAAAAAGCCAAGGAGAAAAGCATGTTTATTCATCTCTCTATCATATGTGAGGGCATCTTCTAGTTGGTGCATCAGTCCTGGTCTCTTATTTGTCCTACTGGGGCCAATGCACACAGAACAGTATCCAGGATTCCAATTAGTCTTGGACCTAGATTTGCACCCCAGTATAGCACCTCTTTGCCCTCAGCTTCCCAGTGAAACAGAAGATGACTCTCAAATCATGACCTCAGTGCCATGGAGCCCTGAGACAATTGAGGTTTGGGTATTACGGAGGCATGAACACAGGTGACCAGAACACGTGTTCTGACACATCATAAACCTCCTGCTGCCCACCCTGCGGTTTTTATCTCATTTGGTGTCAGTTTGGCAGAATTAGACAATAGTTGATTGTAAGGTGGGAGCACAAATTTCTCTTAGCGGGAAAATCTCTTCAGTGAATTATCTTAGTGACCTCTTGTCAACTCAGGTGTGTGAAAGCCTGGGGCTCAGATTTCAGTGATAGTGTGTTCAGCAAGAGGTTCTTATTTGATTGCTTATATGTTTCCATAGTAAGAGGAGAAAATAAGATTACAGAGAATGTGAGACAACAAAGCTGAGTGCAAGGGATGAGAAGGGACAGAACTGATGAAGAAAGGATCAGGGATGTGAGACACTCCTTTCCCCGCAAATCTGAAATGAAATCACCTGGGATCTATGATGGTTTTGAGACAGTTGTATGTGGTCAGAATAAAAGCAGAAAAGGTAGGATTAAAGACCTTTAGCAGGGCCTGACATGGTAGCCTAGTGGCTAAAGTTCTTGTCTTGCAGGCATCAAGATTCCATGTGGGCACTGGTTTTAATCCCAGCACCCCAGCTTCCCATCCAGTTCCCTGCTCGTGGCATGGAAAAGCAATCGAGAACAGCCCAAAACTTTGGGACTCTGCACCCGTGTGGGAGATCTGGAGGAAATTCCTGGCTCCTGACTTTGGATCAGTGCAGCTCTGGCCATTGTAGCCACTTGATGAGTTTTTCATCAGATGGAAGATCTTCATCTCTGTCTCTTTCTTCTCCTTATATTTCACTTTCCAATAAAAACAAAATAAATTATTTTTAAAATTTGATCTGGAGCAACACGAAACCATGCAGGTAGTGTGAATGCTGGATTTCTCATCACCTTGATTTTCTTGTGTCCTGTCTCTAGCTACAGACTCAAACATGGAGTGAACATGGGCATATGGAGGAATATATTGACACTAGCCTGGGTGAAAATGCCAGATCTCCACAAGAGCTCAACGAGTGTCTTGGGGCAAAAACAAACAAACAAACAAACCCACAAAATCCTATGCCCTGATATTTGAATGTAGGAAGACAAATTCTGCAACATCAACTCCGACCTACCGGAAGACCAAGGAAGGAAGGAATGGAGAATGACCTGTGAAGTGGCAGGCAGCCACTTGGACTTCAGAGCTGAGACCACAAACTCAGCAGCCTGTTCTTCTGGGCCAGGATTCAGGGAGAGAAAAAAATCACAGGTTTCTACAATCACTCTCTCTGAACTCCATGTCCTAGAGATTGAAGTATAACTTAGATTATAATATACTCTGTTTCATATTTCTGCTTGAAGCATACATAATCTTATTACTTTATGAATCCAAAGCATGCTACAACTTGGACAATTCAGACACAATCACTTCTTTCCTTTAACTGGTAGAACCAGAGACATGTTGCAAGTGTCAAGTAGGAAGAATGAGAGGGAGGGTACAAGCGATCCCAGGCGCATTTCTAACTATCCTCCACTGACCATCAAAGAGGGCCTGCATGTAATAACGTCTGTCAGCAGATAGAGGCCCCAGGAGGAGCAGCTGAGGGAGCCAAACTCGCACTTCTGCTTTCCTGGGAGGTTTTTATTAGGGCTTGTATTGCTGTGGTATCATTATCATCATCATACTCTCCAAAACAGTAGTAGGTTCCTGCGTCCTCAGCCTGCACCGGGCTGATGGTGAGAGTGAATGATTTCCCAGATCCACTGCCCTTGAACCTGTCAGGGACCCCAGACTCTAATTTGGATGCAGCATAGATCAAGGGCTTAGGTCGCTGTCCTGATTTCTGCTGGTACCAGTTTAGATAATTGTTGTTGTAAACACTTTGACTTGGCTGGCAATTGAAGGTGACTGTGCCTCCCACAGGTGCAGACACCACAGATGGTGACTGGGTGATCTGAACAGCACAGCTGGCACCTGAGAAGAGAAACACAAACACAAACATCCACTCTCATCATCATGTTAACGAGAGAAAAACTTCAGAAAGAACTGACCACATTGGTGAGTCAGTTTCTGCTGTTGTCCTTCCTCACCTGGGAGCCAGAGCAGCAGGAGGCCCAGGAGCTGAGCAGGAGCCCTCATGTCCATGCTGTGTCTTGATTGGCACTGACTCCTGCACAGACTGTGAGCACCTGCTCATAAGTATGCAGGGCAGTGGGCTGTGCCAAGGGGACATGAAAATCAGCAGGAGAAGTGAGATTGCTGTGCAAAACAGAAGAGCCCAGCTCATCTCATTACTGAGCACAGGGAAAGTCTCCAGACATTCAGGTCAACCCTGCTCTACAGTAATTTACCTGCAGAGAACATGATCCTTTCTGAAACATGTTACATGACAATGACAAAGTATTAGGCTCACTTGACAAACTGCAGTAAACCAAAGGACAGGATGGTATCATCCATTTGTGGTTTACAATTTTGGTTCTTTATATAGGAGATGATTTCTTGGTAAAGAATGTGCATATGTTTTTAAAGAATGGTGCACGCAAAGTGAAGTCTTTAGCCACTAGGCTATAGTGATGTACACAAGGATAATTTTTGATTCAAAATACATTTATACAAAGCCATCACATGTTATGTATTGCTTATACACACTTTTAGAAGTATGATTGTTCTTTCCAATATACAGTCCTGCTTCCCAACAACTCTCTCATATTTTCCATTTAATTGTTATAATGATATATATTGTAAGTGTTTATATTCACAACTTGTTCCTCCTCCAAATAAAAATGTTCAATAAGTAGGAAGGTTAAAATTTACTGTTCTTCAGTGGAAAATCCCCTGTCACTAACTGGACCTGAAGCATGGCTTCCCCTGGAGGTAATGGGGGAAGTCGTGTCTGCTGCTCAATTTGGTGGAGCAAATCATCAAAAATCAGAATATTCTCATAAGCTTACACCAATGACAGTGTCATAGTTTTTAGCAAAATTCCAGAATCATAGTCTTTCTTAGTCATAAAGAAATCAAACAGAAGTGTTTATCTGATACATCTTCCACTTTACTGGTCAGAACAAATATGTTCTGCCACTCTGCCCACTCTGCTCTGAGATCCTCCTCTGGGCAATGCCATGTCTCAGGGCAAGTGGGGCAGAGGGTGTCCAGCTACAATTTGTGCATCCTTGCGTGGCAGGTTGGACGGGGCAGAGGCAGAAGGGATGGATTGGTGCTGTCCCACTCCTGTGCTTCCTGCAAATATGAACTGTGATGCAGGCTTATCCATGGTCAGACATCTGAATTGTCCTAAGATGGAGGAAAAAGCTCCTAAAATTTCTAATGCTTGTTCACATGAAACCATATGTTGATTATTTCCCAGATGTTGATGACAGATGTGCTGCACCAGGACATACACCTCCTGGATCCAACTCAGACCCCCAAGTGTGTAACAGGGACCCAAATATGCGGGCAACCACCTGCTGCTCTAGCCATGTGAGTGAGGACCGAAATCAGACATGGAGCATTTGGGACTCAACTAATTCCCTGGTTGATATGAGATACTGATGTTTCCAGTAGATTAATCCACTGCACCTCAACATTGGTCAATATCCATTTGTCTCCTATTTGGTAGCAAAGCTGGGGCTATAGCACTAAGATGTTACTGCTGTGCAGAGAGAATTCAGCCCTTCGAGCAGGTAGTATATGAAACGGTGCTCTGTTCCTCTCCCTGCACTCTGTCAGGTGGTGCATGATGCCTGTCCATCTGCCCCTTCAGGCAATGGAGTGAGGCAATATCTTCCATAACTCTCCTCTGTAGACACTCTTCCTTTGTGTAACTTATTATATTTGTGAGCAGTAGTTATTTATTATTACTCATGAATATTTCATTTGTCATTTAAATATCAGTATTTATCACAGGTTCATATTTTCTTTAATGGACTATGTTGCTATCATTAATTCATTTATACTGAAATGCCCCACATTGAACTAGTTGAGAATCCATTCAAAAGGGCTTTATTTTCTTCATCCAAGACTCCATCAATATTTATTTCGTTCAGGTTTCTCCTAAAGATTTTTCTGTCCCCAAAATAGGTGTTTCTCCAAGAGTTGTTGTGTCCTTTAAATGAAGAATGATAGAATTGTATGGAGACAACAAGATTTGGATGCTAGGATCTTATTTTTGCCTGGTGTGGTGTGGTCATTAGGCTGTAGAGACAGTGATCTACTGAGGTATCCATCCACATACAGAGCCACACATTTATATCTCAATCCCAACGCAGGAGTCTGAAAATACAGCTTTTTGTAATGATTTATTTTATCTGTATTGGAAAATCAGATATACAGGAAGGAGGAGAGACAGAGAGAAAGATCTTCCATCCGGTGATTCACTCCCTAAGTGAGTGCAGTGGCTGTAGCTGAGCCAATCCGAAGCCAGGATACAGCAACTTCTTTCAGGTCTCCCACATGGGTGCAGGGTCACAAAGCTTTGGGCCGTCCTCAACTGCTTTCCAGGCCACAAGCAGGGAGCTGAATGGGAAGTGGAGCTGCTGGGATTTAAACCAGCGCCCATATGGGATCCTGGCGCATTCAAGATGAGGACATTAGCCACTAGACCATGCTGCCGGGCCCTGAAATTGTAGCGTTAAGTCTTTTCCAAAAATAAAAATTTGTTGAAAAACTCTTCTTTACTTTTCTGCAATGTCTTTCTCTGGACGTGAATATTCTATCCTTATCACTAATGAAAGCACTTTCTTTGGTTGAATCTCCCGTATGAACCAGTTTGTGGTTGTCATGATCTCATATTGCCCTTGAAGACAACTACCTGTTCCTCCCACACCTGCAGCCTGCTGCTCTATAATGTCACATCATTTGTCAGAGCACGTGGATTTTTTTGCCCCAAATTTCATGATGAGCAAGTATGGAGACTTTGAATTTTATGCTGGTGCAATATATCCTTAAATATTTTCCATCCACATGGCTATGTTCAGTCTATGTTTGACATAATTTTCCACAGTACTTGTCACCAGACAAAACCAGGATGAATTGAAGCCAGTTTCTGCTGCCACTGGTGTCTTCATGCTGATCATGATCTTAAATCCAGTCCATTCTCTTTCTGCCTACTGCACCAGGTCTCTCAATTCCTAATCTGTTTTAATAACTTGTTTCAGATTTGTGGGCAGGAATACAACTCGCATGTTCTTATTGCTCATTTTCCTTTTTTAAAATGGGAAGACATTTATTATACATACATGTAGCATAATATTGGAGAGGGCTCTTATGCCCAGAGACTAAACTGACTACCCCTTTCTTGACATGAGTGCTTTTGTAAAAATAATTTCTGCATTACCTGTTGTTTTCTGAACCTTGTCACCATGAACCTCTGACTGCTGCTGTGAAATGCCATGAATACAATTATCTTCAGTGTTTGCATTCATTTTTAGGTATCTGGATTAAAATGCACATGAAAGGCAGTGATGGGAATGAAGAGAGTCCAAAGCAGGTACATAACACCACAAAACAAAACTTCTTAAATTCTAGATCATTTTAATGTTATTTTAAATGTCAGAAGGACTTTGAAAAGTGAACAAGCTTAACAGTTATTTTTTGTGACACAATTCCACAGGCTCTTGGATTTCTGCTTTCCCCTTTGGCAATCTCCCTCCCTCACTGATTTCCCCTGTATTATTACAATAGCATAGACCTTCATAAATGGTCATACGTCCATCAATCTGCAATTGTACAAGACAGCACAGTGTAAAATTTGATATAAAGGTGTAGCTTCACACCATGAGCAGTGAAACAATTTATAAATAATAATTATTATCTAGTTAACATAAATGCAGATCATACTTTTTATCTCCCACATTAATTTTCTGATCTCTGATATCCTCAGATGTCACTTTGTTCTCATTTGGTGTCATTTTGGCAGAATTAGACCATAGTTGATCGTAAGGTGGGAGCACAAATTCCTCTTAGAGGGAAAATCTCTTCAGTGAATGATCTCAGTGACGTCTTGTCAATCCTGGTGTGTGAAAGCCTAGGACTAAGCTTTCAAAGAGTGTGTGTGGAGGAAGAGGTTCTGTTATTTTGGCTTCTCTGCTTCCATATGAGGAGGAGAAAATAAGATGACAGAGAATGTGAGAGGACAGGGATGAGTCCAATGGATGAGAAGGGAATGAACAGATGAGGAAAGGGGATGGATGCGAGATACTTCCATCTCTGCAGATCTTAATGGAATAATCACCTGTGGTCTGTGAAGGCTTTTTAGACAGTTGTATGTGGCTGGAACAAAAGCAGAGAGCTTAGGCTTAAAAACCTGTAGCAGGGCCTGGCATGGTAGCCTGTGGCTAAAGTCCTTGCCTTGCAGGTACCAGAATCACATATGGATACCTGTTCTAATCCCAGAGACCCTGCTTCCCATCCAGCTCTCAGTTTGTGGCCTGGGAAAGCAGTCAAGGACAGCCCAAAGCCTGGGACAGCACCTGCATGTGATCCAGAGGGATGCTTCATGGTCCTGGCTTCAGATTGGTGCAGCTCTGGCCATTATGGCCACTTGAGAATGAATCACTGGATGGAAGACCTTCCTCTCTGTCTCTTCCTCTCTTGATATCTGACTTTTCAATTAAAAAAATCTGTAAAGAAAAAAAAATGACCTGGATCAATAAAAAATCATCACCCAGGTCAGCATAAAGCAAGACTTCTCATCACCTTGGTTTTTTTTTTTTTTTTTGGCGCCCTGTCTCTAGTTGCAGCTTCAAATATGGAGTGAACATGGGCATATGGAGGGATACGTTCAAACATACACTAGCCAGGGTTCAAATGCCAGTTCTCTACAAGAGCTCAATGAGTGTCTTGTGGGAAACAACCCCTATGCCCTGATATTTGATTGTAGGAAGACAAAATCTGCAACATCAACTTGCACCCACTGGAGACCAAGGGATGGAGCACTGGGGAACCACCTGTCAGGCTGCAGGCAGCTGAGAGCATCAGCTCCAGGGCTGAGGACCACAGGCTCAGCATCCTGTTCCTTCTGTTCCAGAACGGCGTTGGATTCAGGGACACCTCAGAATCTCCTGTTTCCACAATCACTGATCCACACAGACCTAGAACATTAAAGTACAACTTGGAATATAATAAATTCTGTTTCATATTTCTGCCTAAAAAATACATAATCTTGCTTTGTTGCTGTATGAGTCCAAAGAATGCTGCAAATTGGAGAACTCAGACAAAATCACATCTTTCCTTTAACTGGTAGAAATATGGACATGTTGCAAGTGTCAAGTAGGAAGAATGAGAGGGAGGGAACAAGGGAGCGTAGGGGCCTTTCTAACTACCCTCCACTGACCATCAAAGAAGGCCTGCATGTAACATCTGTCAGCAGAAGAGGCCCCAGGAGGAGCAGCTGAGGGAGCCACACTAGCACTTCTGCTTTCCTGGGAGGTTTTTGTTCAGGCTTGTATCACTGTGGTATCACTGATATCATCATACTCTCCAGCACAGTAGTAGGTTCCTGCATCGTCAGCCTGCACCGGGCTGATGGTGAGAGTGAATGATTTCCCAGATCCACTGCCCTTGAACCTCGAGGGGACCCCAGAGGCTAAACTAGATGCATGATAGATCAGGAGCTTTGGACGTTGCCCTGGCTTCTGCTGAAACCAGGATAGATACTTGTTCTCGTAAACACTCTGACTTGACTGGCAGTTGATGGTGACTGTGCCTCCCACAGGTGCAGACACCACGGATGGTGACTGGGTGATCTGAACAGCACAGCTGGCACCTGAGAAGAGAAACACAAACACAAACATCCACTCTCATCATCATGTTAACGAGAGAAAAACTTCAGAAAGAACTGACCACATTGGTGAGTCAGTTACTGCTGTTGTCCTTCCTCACCTGGGAACCAGAGCAGCAGGAGGCCCAGGAGCTGAGCAGGAGCCCTCATGTTCATGCTGTGTCCTGACTGCCACTGACTCCTGCACAGACTGTGAGCACCTGCTCATAAGTATGCAGGGCAGTGGGCTGTGCCAAGGGGACATGCAAATCAGCACCAGAGGAAATGATATTCTTGTACCAACCAGAAGAGTCCAGTTCATCTCATAACTGATAGTAAGCAAAGTGTCTCCAGACATTCAGGTCAGTTCCTGCTCTACAGTAATCTACCTGCAGAGAACATGATCTTTACTGATACATGTTATGTGACATAGCAGTAGGTACAGTTGACAAACTCCAACAAACCAAAGGACAGGATGGTATCATCCACTTGCACTTCACAAGTTTGTTTCTTTATATAGAATATATATTTGTTAGCAAAGAATCTGCATATGTTCTTAAAGAATTGTGCGTGCCAGACGAGGTCTTTAGCCACTAGGCTATAGTACTGTACCCAAAGATAATTTTTATTTTAAAATATATTTTTACAAAGCCATTAGGTATTACATATTGTTTATACACACTTTTAGGAGTATGATTGTTCTTTCCAATATACACTCCTGCTTCCCAACAACTCTCTTTCTCATATTTTCCATTTAATTGTTATAATGATATATATTGAAAGTACTCCATATTTGCAGCTTGTAACACCTCCAAATAAAAATGTTTAACAATTAGAAAGGTGAAAAGCCACTGTTCTTCAGGGGGAAATCCCCTGTTATTAACCAGACCTGAAGCATGGCTCCCCCCTGGTGGTAATGGGGGATATCGTGTCCACTTTGAATCTGGTAAAACAGGTCATCAAAAATCAGAATATTCTCATAAGCTTACACCAAAAACAGTATCATTGCTTGTAGTAAAATATCAGCATCACAGTCTCTTTGTAATAAAGAAATCAAACAGAAGCCTATATCTGATACATCTTCCACTTTACTGGTCAGAACAAATATGTTTTGCCACTCTGCCCACTCTGCTCTGGGATCCTCCTCTGGGCAATGCCATGGCTTGGGGCAAGTGGGGCAGAGGGAGTCCAGGGTATATAGTTCACCCTCCTGTAGCAGGTTGGACGGGGCAGAGGCAGAAGGGATGGATTGGTGCTGTCCCACTCCTGTGCTTCCTGCAAAAATGAACTGTGATGCAGGCTTATGAATGGTCAGACATCCAACCTATTCTTTGAGAGAAGAAAAAGCTTTAAAAATTTCTCATGTTGGTTCACATGAAACCATATGTTGATTATTTCCCAGATGTTGATGACAGATGTGCTGCACCAGGACATACACCTATTGGATCCAACTCAGACCCCCAAGTGTGTGACAGGGACCCAAATATGCGGGCAACCACCTGCTGCTCTAGCCATGTGAGTGAGAACCGAGATCAGACAAGGAGCATTTGAGACTCAACCAATTCCCTGGTTGATATGAGATACTGATGTTTCCAGTAGATTAACCCACTGCACCTCAACATTGGTCAATATCCATTTGTCTCCTATTTGGTAGCAAAGCTGGGACTACAACACTAAGATGTTAATGTTGTGCAAACAGAATTCATTCCTTTGAGCATTAATATATGAAACGGTGCTCTGTTCCTCTCCCTGCACTCTGTCAGGTGGTGCACGATGTCTATCAATCTGCCCCTTCAGTGGATGGAGTGAGGCTGTGTCTGCCATAACTCTCCTCTGTAGAATTTTTGTTTTGTGTATTTTACAATGTTTTAGAAAAATTATTTATTATCACTTTATGAATATTTCATAATGCAATGTCTTTTTCTGGATATGAATATTCTATCTCTGCTTACCACTAATAAATGTACTTACTTGATGAATCCCCTGTTGGACCCAGTTTGTGGTTGTCATGATCTTGTATACTTGCCTTGCAGACAACTCTCTGTGTTACCTGCATTCACAGCCTGCCCCTCTCTGATATCACATCCTTGGAAAGCTGGGTCCTCTGGGTGAGTGTCCTACTCATTCTGCCCAGGCTCTGACTCCTGTTTAGAAGGATCCTGCTACCGTGTCTTCACTCCTGCTTCTAACACTTAGGGACATGCCCAGTGAGCCAACAGCCTCAGCATTCCCCCCATGAATGCTTCATCCCAGTGGAGCTCACATACCGTGTGCAGTGCTCTTCTGGAGCCATGTTCCTGATTGCTTCTGTCTTCACCTTGATTAAGTCCTTTTCATCCTAAAAGCAGCCACTGCGAGCAGAGGAAGTGAAAGAGATTTGGTGATGGCACAATAGGCATGTTCAGAAAGCACAGTGGATTCAGGGATATGAGGGAGCACCCAGTATGGACAGAGCTGTTCTGAAGGCATGGCTAGGGCTAGGAAAGGACGGAGAATGTCAGGAACAAGCTGAAGCTCCAGAGAGCTTCTGACATGGAATGTGTGGTAGGAGCAGAGCTTGGGTAGGGGAGACCCACACTCCTCATATAGACAGGGAGAAAATTCCTGACTGTGCCTGGCCTTGAAGGAAGGCAGAGGCAGAGCATTTGAAGGGGGAGACAAATCACTTAGCTAATAAAACATGTCAGTGCTGACAGATGCAGCATCTCCTTAACAAACCCACTCCTCATCTTTGGAACCTGCAGAGCAGACATGACTTTGTGTTACTGATTTAAAGGAAAGAAATAGGTATGTTTGAATCCTTCACTTATGTGACAGCATCCCTTTGGATCTGTAGGGTAAAACGTCAGCATTCCAGATGTTCCAATCAGAAATAGCTTAAGGCATATTTTTGGAAATTAGGGTACCCTTTTATATCTTATGAATGTTGTGGAAAGAGCTGATGATTGTAGAAATGTGGGACTCCTTGCTTTTCCTGAATCTGGTGCACTTCTCTCACAGAAGGAGCAGGCTCTGATCCCTGTGGTCCTCAGCCTCCTAGCTGATGTCCTCAGTATTGCCAGCAGCACTCACACATGGTTCCCCAGTCCTCAGCTTCATCTCTGGTCTGCCTGCAAGTGCAGAGGAATGGTACAGCAATTTCTTCAGCTGACACATCTCTGAGCACGTGGAGTTTGTGCCTCAAGTCTCATGATGAGTAAGAATAGAGACCTGGGATTTTCTGTTGGTGCAATATATCCTTAAATATTGTCCGTCCACATGGCCATGTTAGATCCATGTTTGACATCATTTTCTACAGAATTTGTCACCAGACAAAAGCAGGATGAATTGATGCCAGTCTTCATGCTGATCCAGATCTTAAATCCAGCCCATTTTGTCTTTCTGCCTGCTGCTTGATGCAGAGCCACATGATGCACTGAACGTGCCACATTCCTCTGCTATTCTTTTAGAGTCAAGGTGGAGGTCCAAGCTCTCACCTGTTCTCCCTCCACATGAGTTTCCACTTTGTCACACTATTGACTGTGAAACAGAGAATGATCTTTTATTCCAACAGATTTGAAAACAGATTTGCACCTCTGTATCTCAAATCCTGATTTTGCTCTACCTACATACTCTTCTTCACTAGAATGAGGCCATGAAGCCACCGTCTGTCCCTTGGGTCATCTGTCCTTGGGGTCCATAAGGCCTCATTCTTGTGTTCTTGCTGTGAATTGCCCCATAACTCCTGCCATGGCTCAGGACTTGCTTTGTTGCCACTATCCAACCTATGCAGGTTCCCAGGGTTTGCACAACCCCAGAGTCTGCCAAAAAGAAGACAAGAACCTCAGTGTGGGTTCCATGGCTGTTTTTGAGACCAGGGAGGCTTCTACTTTGTTCTGATTCCTGAATGTTCCAGGTATATAGAATGAGAGCAATAAATAGGAAACATGAGGTGAGAAAATAGGACTTATAAGGAGGAGCAGTATCTATTGGAACATCTGTGTAAGCTGAGTTACTTAGTGCTCTGTCCCCTCCTTCCTTCAAGGCCAGGCACAGTCAAGCATTTTCTCACTCCCTAAATGAGTGTGAGTCACCTTTTCAGCTCATCTTCCCATCACACATGTCGTGTCAGATAGTCCCTGGAATCCCAGCTTAGGGATGATGCTCTCTATCACCTGGCAGCCCTAGCCATGCCTTCAGAACAGCTCTATATAGACTGATGGCTGCCTCAACACATGAATCCACCATTGTTTCTGAACAAGTCTGCTGTACCATCACCAACTCTCTTTCAATTCCACTGGTTTTAGGACACAGAGAGTCCAGTCAAGGTGAGGACAGATACAGATAAGAAGATGAGGGTGGAAGCCCTAACTGCTGTAGAGAAGCTGTGGTGGTAAATAAAGTAGGTGTACTCTTATGGAAATGCTGAGGCTGTTGGCTCACTGGGTGTGGGAATCAGGACGAACACAGCCTCACTGCCTGTGCAAACAAAACACTGCCTGAGAAAGCAGATTGACACTATCCCATTGCATCACCCCTACCCCACAGTCCTAACAGGGTGCATTTTTTACTCAATGAGAGGGCAACTTGGATGTCAGACCTTTAATGAAAGTGCACCTTAGTTCACTTTTTCAGGTAGCACAGTGGTTGGACCGCACGGGTCCAATCCTCCTGCCTCTGCCCCTGTCCAACCTGCCACAGGAGGATGCCCTAAGTGCACCTGGACACCCTCTTCTCCACTGGACCAAGCATTGGTATTCCTCATAGGAGGACCCTCAGGCAGAGCAGAGTGACCACTGAGGCAGAACATTGCTTGCCAGTTTATTGTCTCTGCCGTCCACTTAAATAGATGTATGAGACAAAAGGTTCTCTTTAATTGTTCAAGACACTGCAAGAGACTGCTGCTTGGGTGCAATCGATGACACTGTTATTGGAGCAATTCTGTGACAATGTTGTATCTGATTGTGGATGGCATGCAGACCTGCTCTACCAGATTGAAAGTGGCCACAATCTTCCCTACAACCGCGAGGGGGCGCCATGGACCGTTAATTTGGTAGTGATGGGGAATTTGGGAGGACTTGAGAACACTCAATAGCCCTGGTCTACCCTCCTGCAGGACCGTGGTTTCTCTCCTTTCTACTTCCTGAGTTTTTATTTTTATCCAGAGGAGGGATAAGCTTGTGAATATGAAGTAAACTAAGATGTCATTATAAAGATTGAAAGGAAATGAACAGAAGAGGGAGAGCTGGTGGGAGGGAGGTAAGGTGGGAATGATGACTGAGCTCCACCTGAGCCTCTGTGGTCGCTGACAGATTCAGTGGCAACAGGTCGGGGACAGATTTCACCCTCACCATCAGCAGCCTTCCCTCTGCCTGAGGATGTCGGAGATTACTCCTGTGGGCAGCATGGGAGCAGTCCTCTCACAGAGATTCAGGCTCCTACACAAACCTTCTCCCCAGGGCCACAGGGGAGTGAGCTCCTGCTCTCCCAGCTGCTTCCTTCCTGCCCTGCTCTGTCCCTCCCTCATTGGGAGAACAGACACTGTCTCCTGCTTCACTGTGGAGTATGTTCTAGTAACCAGGGAAGACTGAGTACAGCATCCAGACTGGGTCATTGCACAAGGAAGCCAATCCAAAAAGACCATGTAATGATCTGTCATGAGCCTTTCCATCTTCATTCAGAGCTTTCTTGGCCTCTCAGGGTCTCTATTGTCCGTAAGATGGGCTTAAGCCCTGACCAGGAGACAGCCTCACCTGCCTATTGCAGAAGAGAATTCAGGGATGGAGCAGCTGCCTCTCCCATGTGCCTGCTGACACTGAACCTTCCCGTTTCCTTCCTTGGCTGACTCACCTGCTTCTCTCTCTCTCTCTCTCTCTCTGGGTACATCACCACATTTAATCCTCAGCACTGAGTTTGCAAGTGCTTTTCCTTCTCTTATTCTTCTGTCCTCCTATCTTTTATTGAAGGAGCATCTTCCTCTGGAACATATTATAAATTGTTTGACTGATAATATACTGAAATATAATACTCTTTACAATGGAAAAGTAATCTAGGTCAGAGAGGATGTATGACAGTGGAGAAGCTTGTTCCTGTGAGAGGAAGGAGAGACCACATGGCAGGACACATGGGGCAACCTGAAGATGCAAGAACAAGGCCTTGGATCCTCCCCTCTGGAGTTGCCAGAAGGAGCATAGCCCTGCTGCCTCCTGGGTTCCATCTCAGTGAGGCCTGTGATTGCCTAAAATGCGGTGATGGCATAAATGTGGAATTTCACATCATAAACAGTGCAACAATTTATAAATAATATTTGAGCTAACACAAGTATTTAATTTAACCCACTCCCATCCCCTATAATTGGCTGACCTCTGAGAACTTGAAATGTCACTTTGTTCTCATTTTTTTGTCAGTTTGGCAGAATTAGTCAATAGTTGATGCTAAGGTGGGAGCACAAATTCCTCTTAGCGGGAAATCTCTTCAGTGAATTATCCTAGTGACCTCTTGTCAACCTTATGTGTGAATGCTCAGGGCTCAGCTTTAAAAGAGTGTGCATGGAGGAAGAGGTGCTGATTCCATAAGAGGAGAAAATCAGATTGCAGAGAATGTGTGAGGACACCTCTGAGGGATGAGACGGGACAGAGCAGACTAAGAAAGGGTCAAGGATATGGGATACTTTTCTCCCCAGAATCTGAAGTGTTCTCACTTGTTGTCTGTGAGAGTTTTCGACACTTGCATGTGGCAGGTTACATTGCAGTGAAGGCTGGTGGGATAAAGACCTGCATCAATATGGAGTCAATCAGGTCAGTGTGATTCCTGGAGTTCACATTACCATGGCTTTCTCTTGCCCTGCATGCAGGGTCAGCCTCAAATATGGAGTGAACATGGACATCTGGAAGAAAATATTTAAACATGTATTCACCTGAGTTAAAATTCCACTCCCTAGCAATGAACACAAGTGTCCTGAGTTTTGAATGTCAGAAGACAGATTCTGAACCATCCATCTGAATCTGTAGGCCGACCCAGCAATGAAGGACTGTGGAACCAGCTGTGAGGCTGCAGGCAGCTGAGAGCATCAGTTCCAAGGATGAGGACCACAGAGTCAGGACCCTGTTCTTTCCCTCAGAGAGGCATTGGATTCAGGGAGAACACACAATACCATGTTTCTAAGATTACCATCTCTGATCCCCACATTCCTTGTAATTGAAAGTATAATTTGGATTATAATGAGCACTATTTAATGTTTCTGCTTGAAAGAACCATAATAATTGCCTTTACTGTATGAATAAAAGGCATAATGTAACATTGAGTACTCTGGCATAATCACTTCTTCTCTTTAAATCAATAAAATCATGAACATATCTGAGATGCAGGTGCCAAGAAAAAGGAATGAGGGACACTACAAGGGAGTCCAATGGTTTTCTAATGACCTTCCAGAGACCATGGAAGAATTACAACATCAGAGAATGGCTGTTAGCATATAGAGGCCCCAGGAGGAGCAGCTGGGGAAGCCAAGACTCACACTTCTGCTCTCCTGGGAGGTTTTGTTCAGGCTTGTATCACTGTGTGAGTGTAACTACCACTAGTACCATAAGCTCCTTGACAGTAGTAGGTTCCTGCATTGTCAGCCTGCACCCCACTGATGGTGAGAGTGAATGATGTCCCAGAGCCACTGCCCTTGAACCTCGAGGGGACCCCAGATGCTAATTTGGATGCCTCATAGATCAGGAGCTTTGGACGTTGCCCTGGTTTCTGCTGAAACCAGTCTAGATAATTGTTCTCGTAAACACTCTGACTTGACTGGCAATTGATGGTGACTGTGCCTCCCACAGGTGCAGACACCACGGATGGACTCTGGGTCACTTGGCCGGAACATCTGTCACCTGAGAAGAGAAACACAAACACAAACATCCACTCTCATCTGCATGTCCAAATAGAGGAGATAAGAAGATTCAGTCAACACTGATCACACTGGGTTATTTCGCATCATGGTGCTGTGCTTCCTCACCTGGGAACCAGAGCAGCAGGAGCCCCAGGAGCTGAGCAGGCACCCTCATGTCCATGCTGTGTCTTGACTGGCACTGACTCCTGCACAAGCTGTGAGCAGCCTGCTCATAAGTGTGCATGGCAGTGAGCTGTTCCCAGTAGACATGCAAATCATTAAGGGAAGTGAGATTGCTGTGCAAGGCAGAAGAGCCCAGCTCATCCCATAGGGGCAGGCACCCAGGTCACCCCCTAGGTTGTATTTATTTACCTGGAGAGAACATCATCCTTTTGGGCAAGCAGTGTATGTCATAATGCATTTAGCAACTCTTGACAAATTCTAAATGATACCAAGAATAAGATGTCATCTACTTTTATTTCATGACTAGGTTTTAGTTTACAGAATAACTTATTAGAAAATGTGCAGTACTATTCTTAAAAATAATTTTATAAATTTCTGAGCCTACTTTTGAAATCTTCCCATACATTATTACTTACACAATTTATTGGGTCTAAAATTATTTCATTTACCTTTTTAGGAAAGAGGAAAAGAGGAATTCATATATTTTTAGGAGCCACAATATGACCTTCAGACACTGTTAGAATCTGAACAATGACAAGATATTTACTGTAGATTAATGCACCATAAAACAGAAGAGGCTTCATACCTAGAGACTAAATGGGCTGCCCCTTTTTGGGCATGGCTGCCTTTGGAAAACAAATTTCTACCATTTTCTGTTGTTTTCTGAACCTTGTTGCCACGAAGCTCTGACCACTGATGTGAAATGCCATGATTGCAACTATCTTCAGTGTTAGCATTCATTTGTAGGTATCAGGATCCACATGAAACGTTAGATGAGTTCACACCTAGAAAAATTCTGTAAAAAGACACAAAGAACGACCCAGCACAAAGTCCTCACCTCTCATGCGCTGGGATCCCATATGGACACCTGTTCTAATCCTGGTGGCTCCACTTCCCAACCAGCTTCTTGCTTGTCGCCTGGGAAAGCAGTTGAGGATGGCCCAATGCCTTCGGACACTGCACCCGCGTGGAGACCCTGAAAAATCCACTGGCTGCTGGGTTCGGATTGGCTCAGCTTCAAGCCATTATGGGCACTTGGGGAGTGAATTATTGGATGGAAGATTTTCCTCTCTGTCTATTCCTCTGCTTAGATCTGCCTTCCCATTAAAAATAAATAAATCTTAAAAAAAGAAACACTAAGAAAACCCATGGGAATCTCCTTGTTAGTTTCTCTGAGCTGCAGTATCTCCCACTGGAGCTCAGGTGGACCCACTCTGAAACCTGGTAGGTGGACAATAGCTGAAAAGGAAGCCCATGGGAAATAACAATGTGTTAATCCACCTAATGTAGATGAGGGCACCTGCTGCTTGGTGCAGGGCCAGGTCATGCACTGAAAGTGCCTCATTCTTCTTCCACTTTTTATCTGCATCAGGGCAGGGGGGATGCACCCGCCTTTTCCACTTTGCCAAGCTAAATCCAATAAGCTGAGCAATATCTTGGATTCTAATAGACTTGGATCCTGATTTGCATGCTGTATCTCACATCTCTACCTTTGCTGCAGTCCCCCAGTTTGCATCACCAGAATGGGATAAGGAAATCATCATCTCAGTATGCAGGAGCCTGGGGACCAGGGATGAGTTGGGTGTTACCAAGGCGTGATCACAAGTGACTAGGCCATTTGGGCACAGCCACATCACAAAATCTGGCCTCCAACTTGAGATCTGATTTGCGAGAGGTCATACTACGCAGAGAGGATACCAGGATCTGAGAGCAGAAAACTGCCCTTCCAGATTAAATGAATTTACGCATCAATTTTAGGGGAGAATAACAGGACCACCCCATGCTTCCCCCTTTTCTGTAGCTATATCGACACCCTCCACTCCTGCCTGGGCTGCACTGAGCTCTCTGCTCATGGGAGGAATCTCCCACTGCATAAAAGCAGCACACAGAGCCTGTGAGGAGCTGCTCCGAGGCAGCCCTCTGTGCATGACAGCAGAGGGAGGTACTCAAGATCCCAGATCCCTCACCTCTGTGATGAACCAATCCTGAGGCTTTTGTCTACAGTCCGTGCAAACTCAACATGCAGTAAACGTCAGTTACACTTGATTGACTTTGGGGCTTTGCCCATTTGTCTTGTCTTCTCTGTTTCATTTTCTTATTCCTCCGGTTTCCTGCTCCAGGTAAGTAGGCTGCCTACATTAGAACCCTTGGCAATAGGTGAACAGTCCTGATTCCTACAAGGCTTATCTGGACTCAATTCATGTCAGTTCTTCTTCTAGCATTTACAAAGATTCTTTTAAAAATTTCAGCAAAACCTTAGCTTCCTTTCCCAGTCTTAGTGAGCTGAAGCAAAAATTCCAAATGAGTCACATCACCTCGAGTGACCTACAGATGGCAGTGTGGAGCAGGTGGACTCCAGAAGCGGTAAAGAACACTGCTCTTCCACCTCAAGTCAGGTTAGCACACTTGGGCTTGTGTCTAACCTGGGAACACCAAGTGACGGACAGAAACCCACAGAGTGTCCCTAGCCTTTATACTGTCTCTTCTTATGCTTTCCTTGAGTTGTAAATAAGAGACCAAAGCAAATCAAGTTGGCATGTTAATGTCTTCTCTTACTCCTTCTGTACTTTTGCTAACACAAGAATAATTCTTCTAAGAATTGCTAGCTTTATATAAGATAAGAATTAATGAAAGCCTTCTTGTGATATCTGAGATTTGGGGGGGGGTATAAAAGTCTCTGTATTCTCAAATAAAATGTGTCATCCAGAAAATGTGGATGATGGCCGCAGTATAGAATCATAAAATCATTCCTCCATTAGGCTTCTTCTTGTTGTCCAATTAATCCTGGCAAATCAGCTTTGCGATTTCTAGCTCTGACTAGAAGAAGGCAGTGATAGGAATGATAAGATTCTAAAGTGGGTACATAACACCCCAAAAAGAAGAAACATCCATTTCCTAACTTCTGCATCATTAGATTGTTATTTTAAATGTCAGAAGGAATTTGGAATGTTGGCTAGTTTAACAAGGATAGTTTTTCATGATGCAATTCCATAGGTTCTTGGAGTTCCCTTGCCCCTTTCCCAGTCCCCCTCCCCCGCTGATTCCCCCTGTATTGTTATAATAGTATAGGTCTTCGTAAATATTTCCAGGTGCATCATTCTGCTATTTAAGTGTATCATGACATAGCAGGTATAAGAAGGCAGAGAGTCCGTCATCCTGTTGTCAAGCTTTATTTAACGGTTTCTTTGGGAGTCCTTCTTTGAGTTGGAAGTAGGAATGCTCACTGCATGGCATGTGTTTGATTGGGAAGTAGAGATGCATATCACATCTGGATATGATACTCCCCATTACACAGTTACTATACACTCCCTTAAATTTAAAGCCATAAAACAAAATCAGCAACAGAAATATATTTATAAAATGTATGGGCACAATCTTGAGATTATCATGAATTATTTGATTGAAAGTAATATATTAAATGAAATATAATTAATTAACATAGTAGTCCTTATAATAAGGATGAATATCTAAGTCAAAAAGGAGGTGTGACAGTAGACAAGGTTGTTGGAGTGAGAAATGGAGTGGCCACAGAGCAGGGCACATTGGGCATCCTGAAACTGCAAGAACAGGGACATGGATCCTCCCCTCTGGAGCTGCCAGAAGGAGCACAGCCCTGCTGCCTCCTCGGTTTCATCCCAGGAAGGACTGTGACCTCCTGAACTGGAATAACAGGACAGTGTGTAGTTTGATATCATAAACTGCACAATAATTTATAAATAATAAATTTCTGCTAATACAAACAGATAATTTCATCTTGCTCCCCCATCCCCTGTAAGTGACTGACCCCTGGAATCCTCAAATGTCACTTTGTTCTCATTTCCTGTCAGTTTGGCAGAATTAGTCAGTAGTTGATGATAATGTGGGAGTACAAATTTTCCTTAGTGGAAAATCTCATTGTAAATTTATTTTCGTGATCTATTGTGAGCCCAGACTGTGACTGGTTTCCTTCTCTACTTCCATATTAGGAGGATAAAATATGATCACACAGAATGTGAGAAGAGAGTGCGGAGTCTGAGGAATGAGAAGAGACGAAGCAGATGAGGAAATGGGGGAGGACACGATGTACACCTTTCCCCAGAAATCACCTGCAGTCTGCAAAGGCTTTGGGACACTTGCATGTGGCAGGAATAATTGCAGTGAGAACTGGATTAAGTAGGTCAGCGTGATCCTTGGATTTCACATCACCCTGGTTTTCTTGTGCCCTGTCTCTAGTCACACCCTCAAACATGGAGTGAATATGGTCATGTGGATGAAAATATTTAAACATATAAAGTCCTGGTTAAAATTGCAGTTCCCAAATCAACATGGGTCTTGAGGCAAGCAACCCATGTACTCTGAGATTTGAATGTCAGAAGGTAAATTACAGAAAATTCATCTGCACCTACAGGCAGACAGAGGGGGAAAACTGGGAAACCACCTGTGAGGTCCAGGTCCGAGGACCACAGGGAGAACAGCCTGTTCCTTCTGTGGTCAAGGAGCATTGGATCTACAGAGAGCACAGAATCCCATGTTTTAAGGATCACCATGCCTGATTGCCATATTCCTAGAACATCAAGGTATAATTTGAATTCTGATAAACTCTTTTAAACGTGTCTGTTTGAAATATCCATAATGCTGTCCAGTTACTAAATGAATAAAAATCATATTGTAAAAATGAGTACTCAGACATACTTGCTTCTTTCCTTTAAATCAGTACTGTACTGGTATTGCCAAGTAGAAGGAAATGACAGAGGTTGCAAAGTAGTCCAGTTAGTGAGTGCTCTAATTACCTCCAGGGACCAAGGAAGGTTGACTGCGATAGAAAATGACTCTTGATACATTAGGGCCCCAGGAGGAGAAGCTAGGCCAGCTCAGGCACATACTTCTGCTTTCCTGGGTGGTTTTTGTACAGGCTTGTATCACTGTGTGAGTGTAACTACCACTAGTACCATATTCCCCTTGACAGTAGTAGGTTCCTGCGTCCTCAGCCTGCACCGGGTTGATGGTGAGGGTGAATGATTTCCCAGATCCACTGCCCTTGAACCTTGAGGGG